TATCGACTTCCCAAACAATGTTGTACTACAAATGTTGAACTTGTATGAAAATGTGTCAAGAAACCATATCAATTTTGATAAATTTGATAACACAATTGGAAAGTTAATTAGTTCGGAGATCCGTTTAAAATTTAAAGAATATCTAAATATCCTACGGAGAATAGAACATAAAAATATGTAGAGATACCAGAATAATTACTAGGTTTTAAGTTCCAAAATTTGTATATGTAAAAGACAGTTGGAAGTTGAAACCAAAGGAATTTAAATCACGCCACCATTTTTTCGTCTAATATGGAAGCAACAACCAAATGGATATCTCATATACAACTGCAAAATCGACACGGCCTTTGATTTTATTTTGGTTGTATTCACACTTTAGCAACCTCATTTTATGATGGAAAATTTGGTTGTATAAAAAACAAATTATATCTTCCTTTTTTTCCCGACAAAAACAAATTATATCTAATAATAGTGTTACCACATAAATTTTTTTAATCTTTTCTTTCTGAGGTTAGAAATACATTTTTTGGTCAATAACACCAATTATACGGATTTGATATCCACTGATCTACATAATAATGCATCGGTAACACTAATTTATCTAACTTTTTTTAATGATTGGGATATAGTTCACCTATAAAAAAAAAACAAAGGTAGACAATAAATATTCAGCTATAATATAACAACACACTTTTCTTTAACTAAAAAATAAATAACAATTCCGACCCTCATTTTAAAATATCTCCCAAAAAAGCCCAAAAATATTGAACACGAAAACGAAACCGAAGAATCGGCTTTCTCTCCATAACCAAACCGGAAAATAAAAACGTAGACCGGTTTTCTCCATAGTGGAAACAAATCAACCGAAAACATGTACACACAGCAAATTTCACTGATTCAGTAGTAACTACGAAACTCTGTTCCAAACTTTCCATGAATACCTATTTACACACATTAAATCCATTTCTTAAAGATCTTTTCACCGTCCGTACGAATGATCATCTTCTTCAAACTCGGCTACTCCGAGCATCGCAAGATCAAGATGACATTTCATCTCGGATTTGGTCCGTTGCAATTGTGTATAAGAGTCAATCATACCCGAAACATTTGTATTTTTCCTGCTTGAGTATGATCTTGGCTCTAATCCTTCTTCGCCTTTCAAGATTGAGACAATCTCTTCCATATTCGGTCTCCGAGACTCCTCATTGATCACACATGCCGCTGCAGCACGGATCATCCGCTCCATCTGACCCGAGTTTTTTCTTGTACATCTTAGCCTCGGATCGAGCAGCTCCTCTACAGCTTCAATCCCTCTATCCAACAGCGGTTTCGCCTATAGAAATAATACAAAAGACTTTAGTAAGTCCAAAACAGCCCTAAATGTATACAATCACAATATTGTTCGAGTTGTACAATCATCAGATACAATACTACTAGTTTATAAGGAAATGATGTGAAATTAGATGCCTTACCCAAACGACCAAATTTTCTTCACCGGACGATCTTCTTGGTTCGATTGGTTTCCGGCCAGTTATTAGCTCAAGCAACACAACCCCAAAGGCGTAAACATCGGTCTTGTCAGATATCTTACCATGTTGGAAATACTCAGGAGCTAGATAACTGCAAGAAAGTTTCGAGAGAGAATTAAACTAGGTATTTGGCTATCAAGGAGGAAAAAAAGAACTCAAAGCAAGTTTTAATCGATACCCAAATGTGCCTTTCACGGTCTTGCATAGAAAAGGAACAGACGGTGCAGCGGTCCAAGTAGCTAACCCAAAATCACACAACTGAAAGCAAAAACCAATGATTATTTTGCCAGTTGATTATCGAGTAGATCATTTATTCCCCGAAAAGACTGTCTTTAGTACCTTTGGTATTTTCTTTGAGGAAAGGAGAATGTTGGAAGGTTTGATATCTCTATGGACAACACATTGTTCTGTTCCGTTATGCAAATAGGCAATGGCATCAGCAATGCCTAATGCGACCTTGTATCTTGCTGACCAAGGCAAACCAAAGGCGGCCTTCACGCCTTTCTTCTTCTTCTTATCTATTAAAAACCGAAAAAAATCGCAATCAAATCAGTCTTTAAGAATAGATTTGACCTTAAAAAAAAAACAATGGAGATAATAATAAGCTCTATCTTACCGTGTAGATAGTGTTCGAGGCTACCACCAGAGACATACTTGTAAACCAAGAATAGACCTTCTTCGGGATCGATACAAAACCCAAGAAGAGGCACAATGTTGGAGCTATGAAGGGAGCTTGCGATCATCAACTCTCTGCAAAAAGATTTTGGAGATTCTTTGTCTTCTTTATCAAGTCTTTTGATTGCCAAAGCATTTCGCCAAATTCCGATTTTGCCCCTGAACACATAGCTACATGCTCCTCTTCCCAACACTCTCCCTAAAACCACCATTGAATC